AATGGAGTGAGGAGTGCAGATGAGGGGAGGGGTGTGCAGAAGGTTTGGGGGTGAGAGTCGAGTGTGCAAGGGGGTGGGGGGGCAAAGGGCAGGTGTGCAAAGGGGGTTGGTGTGTAAGGGGTGTAAGTGCAAGGGAGTGGGGGGGGTGAGTGTGAGAGAATGGAGGTGTGCAAAAGGCACATGTGTGGCAGAACACGTGTGCCAGAACATGAGTGTGCGAGGATGTATGCGTGCAAGGAACATGTATGTGGGGTTGCAAGGCTTGCCCAGGAAGCAGGTGGGATACACACATACCACACACAACACACACACACACACGTGTGCAAGGCCACGTGCACAGCCAGGGAGCGACACCAGCAGCCCCACACACGTGCTTATTGTGACACTGCCACGTGTGTGCATGGTGTCATGTACATACACCAACATGCGTGCACTAACACGTGTGCACGGGTGTACATGCATGATGACATGTGTGTATTTTCACATGTATGTGCATGGTGACATGTATGTACTCTCACACGTACACCATGACACGTATGTATGTGCATAACAACACATTTGTGCAGCGACACATGTATCCTCACACGTATGTGCATAGTGACATGTATGTACACAGTGACACGTATGTATCCTCACATGCATGTGCATGATGACACACATGTTGCCTCACACGTATGTTCATGGGGACACGTATGTGCACAGTGACACGTATGTGCATAGCAACATGCATGTGCACAGTAACAAGTATGTAGCCTCACATGCACGCGCATGACAACATCTGTGTGCGTAAGCGACACGTATGTGCACAATGACACGTATGTACATGGTGACATGTATGTGCATGGCGACACGTATGTGCACGGTGACACGTATGTACACCGCGACATGTATGTGCATGGTGACATGTATGTGTCCTCACACGTATGTGCACAGTGACACGTATGTGCATGATGACACGTATGTGCACAGTGACACGTATGTGCGCTGCCCTCCCCCCCAGCCCCCCCGCGTCCCCCCACCCCTCCCCTCCCCCCGCAGGCCCCCAGCCACGTGTACGGCGGTCACGGCAGCCACGTCACCAACGTGCGCTTCACCCACGACGACGGGCACCTGGTGTCGCTGGGCGGGAAGGACACCGGCGTCTTCCAATGGCGGGTGCTGGGAGGGCCCCCCCCGGAGCCGCGCTGAGGCCCTCCCCGTTCCCCCCCTGCCACCTCCTCCCCCCCCAAAAATCCCGGGACCAAAGGGGCGCCGCCCCCCCCAGCCCTGCACTGTGACAATAAAACCTTCTATCAGGGGCCCGCCTCCTTCCTGCTTCCGCTTCCGGTGTCACCCGGAAGGAGATGACCGCTCGGTTGCCGGAAGTTCCGGTCGTTCCGTCCGGAAGGACCCGAGCTCTCCTCGAAGCTCCCGAATTGCTTTCCGGAAGTTCCCGAGGTTGTGACGAAACTTGCCGAGGATCTTCCGGAACATAACGAGGTTCTTCCGAAAAAGCCCGAGCTCAGGGCGAGCATTCCGAGTTCATCCGAAAATTTCCGAGATCGCTCCGAAAGCTCCCGAAGCCTTTCCGGAAGTTTCCGAAGCCTTTCCGAAAGTTTCCGAATCCGTTCCGAAAGTTTCCGAAGCCGTTCCGGAGACGCACGAACGGGTCGTGCCGGTGCGGAGGCGGCGGGAACGGGAGGCAATGAAGCGCGGCCGGAGTCCGGCCCGGGGGTAACGCGGCCGAGAGAGCGGCCATGGCGGCCAACATGTACCGGGTCGGCGGTGAGTGGGGGCCGGGGAGGGCTGGGAGCGGGGAAGGGAGGGAAACGGG